ATTCACAGATTCTGAATCGTGACATGCATTTCCTTCAAGGGCTTTGGTTGAGAGATTGCAGAACTCTACTGAGTTGGTCACATTTATGAAATTCCCCAAGCTTTATAGGTCCAGATAGGGATTTGCCAGCGCTCTACCCTCTACCCCAGTCTGCTCTTCCTGATCAGTTCATTTTGATGACTCATCTGGTTTCCCATGCTAGACACTCCGCCGTCTGCACGCCCTTCTCTCAGTCTAAGTCTCTGCCCCGAGAGTAAGTCTGGAGTCCGGCCCTATTTGCTGACCCACCATTGCTCTCCAAGTTTAGGGCCTGTGACCGCTCCCTGGCTCATGGCCCAGCTGACCTCCTCTGGTCTCCGCCTGCCCTGGGCTGTCTTGCAGGCTGGCTCTTGGAGTTTTCTTTAGTGAGGAAGCACATGTCTCTGACCCCTCGGTGGCCTGTGCTGACTCCACAGCCTTCACATGGCCCACAGGCTAAGCCTGGTACCCAAGCCGTTCGCTTACAGGCCCTGCTTTTAACTCTCCCATCCTCTCTCCTGATGGCCAGCCCCAGACCTGTGAGCCATGCCCATTAGCAGTCTGGCGTCCAGCCTGCGGGCTTCCTGCTGCCTGTGTGCTACACCACCCCCCACCCCCCACCCCACCCCCACCCCCGCTCCATGTTCATGCCTCTTTCCGCTGCTTGGGTCAGTTGAAGAGTCACTTCCTCCAGACAGCCTTCCCGGACTCCTGTCCTGTGTCTGGGCCAGGCCTCTTGGTTTTCAGGCTCATCTCCGTAAACTGTAGTTCTCTACCTCTCCTCTCTATGTTTGCTGCCACCACCTGATGGAAGAGAACCACTAGAACCATCAGTCATCTGAAGTGGTCCCCCTCATTCTCGTGAAGCCCTGTGCAAGCAGGGCCACGTCCCTCTTGCACCCAGCACCCTGTGCAAGTCCTGCAGTTAGTAAATATTTGCATTTTTCTGGATTTCTCTCTTTTGTTCTACCAGACTGTGAGTTTCTTAAGGGCCGAGAAAGGGTTGGTCTTTCAGTTCCATGACACAGTTCCTGTCGCACAGGGAGCTCTGAGCACAGGGCAGGTGTTGCTGTTACCGTGCTCACGTGAGTACTTTGAAAAGCCCACATCTCGCCTGCAGAGTCTTTAGGGCAAGGAGCAGGTGCGTTGCTGTGTGCCACTGCTTGAAAAGATCTTCTACACGAATAACCCTGTTTCTCAGAAAGCAGGCTTGGTGGTCATTTGGAGCACCCCACCCCAGTGGCCAGTACTCAATCAGGGCTAGCTCTGTGTGGCGTCACCACAGGCACGCACACTCTCCTGCATTTAACCCTCACAGCGGCCCCCAGCAGGTGCAGGTGAGAAGTGGAGGTGTGGGAATTAGCCAAGTGCCCGAGGTCACACGGCTAGGACCAGTGAGGAGGTAGTGCCCGGTCCCAGGGAGTGTGTGGAAACACTACCCGCGATGGAGCAGCCAGGACTCCCCAGGGGAGGGCTTGGCTGAGGAGGTGGAGGACGTGAACTCCCCGTGAGAAAAGGAACGCGGGCCCCTGGCTCTCCTGACAGCTCGTGCTATGAGCCAGGGACACCGTGAGCGGTCGTTGCTGTGTTTTCCCAATTCCCATGCTTTTCACTTTGACATCTGCAGTATGAGAACTCAGTCTCTGGAGCTCGGGGCCAGCGTTCAGGTCCTGGGTTGGCCACTTCCTAGCCGGGTGATTTGATGGAAGGGCTGGTGCCTTCTTTCACCTTCCACATTTTTCTCATGAATAAAATGAGGGTGATGTTCTTGTTTGTGTGGTGACCTGCCTAAAATGCTTCATGGAGTATTACCAGTGTGATGGGTGGTCTCGTAAGAAAAGTTCTGTCCCCACCTAGAGTTCTTGGTTGGTTTTCGAAGTTCCCTAAGTCAGGGGCCCACAGTGCAGAGGGTTGCTGATGTACTTCAGATGCCACTGAAATGTACATCTGAGGGTTTGTGCTTAGCATAAGAGATGATGCTACATGTAGCTTTTAATTGGTGAAACTGGATAACATTCAAGATCTGTAGTTGATCAGAGAGTGTCGGGGCCTTGCCACCAGTGGCCCACTGGGGCCGTGTCCTTGTGCTCAACGGAACATCGGTGTGGGACTGTTGGTGGCCTGGCTCTGCCGTCAGACCGCCTCAGTACCTTCCTCCCACTGACCTTTCCCAAGGGGTGCCTGTTAGAGGCCTGAGGACAGAGCACAAGAAGTTCTTAGGTGGTTCTTTTTTTCACATCAGCATGCTAATAAAGGTCATATGTTTGATGGAATTTGGCCTAAGGTTTGTTTTTCTCATAATTGCTTGGTGGCAAAGCTGTAGGTGCCGTGGCTTTAGCAACCCCAGGAAGCTACCGGGGGCTGCCTGCCTCAAACAGGGTATTAGATAATTCGCAGGGCGTGTTGCAAAATGAAAATGCAGAATCCCTTTTTCAAAAATTAAGAATTTCAAGACTGTGACAGCGGAGCATTAAACCCAGCACGAGACCCTTCTAAGCACAGATCCATTGTGATTACACAGGACGTGATGCCTGTGAATGCCCTGCCCCAAATCTGACCATTGTTGAGTGGTCTAAGTGGCACCAGTCACTCCCCAGCCTCCTGGGCTCATCCTCTTAGGAGCCTTGCAGGGATTAAATGAGGAATGTCCCCCATCGATAGATGAATGGATGAAGATGTGGTATATATACAGTGCAATATTATTCGGCCATTAAAAAAAGAATGAAATCTTGCCATTTGCAACATGGATGGATCTAGAGGGTATTATGCTTAAGTGAAAGAAGACAAAGACAAATACCAGGTGCTTTCACTTATATATAAACAGACTCATAAACATAGAGAAACTAGTGGTTGCTAGGGGAGGGAGGGAGGCAAAATAGGTGAAGGGAATGAAGAGAGGGCTATAATGTCCAGTTATGAAGTAAGTCAGAGATGAAAAGGAGAGCATAGGGAATGTGGTTGACAGTATTGTAATAAGGTCACATGGTGCACACTGAGTCATGTGTAGAACTGTCGAATCAATGTGTTGTACCCCTGAAGCTGACATGGCATTGTATGTCAACTATAATAATAAAAGTAAAAATAAACTTAAAAATGCCTACTCCACAGGCAGGACCAATGAGTGCCAGATCTTGTTTCTGTAGGGGTGGTATCTGATACAAGAGGGTGGTCCGGTAAGCAGAAGTGCTCACAGGGACACAGTGAAAGGGGGCCAGATCCTTCCTGGCATTGCTGCATGCCTCCTGAGGCCTGTGTGTTCTCCCACCTGGACCTGTCCGAGAGGCAGAGGCCACCGGAGGGCGGGGTGTGTGCCGGGCTGGGGCGGGGCGATGTGCAAAATAGGCGGAGGTGGGAAGGGCGCCATCGGCTGGGCAGCAGGCGGGGGTGATGGCGTGAAGAGCCTGCTCTATACCTTTGCCCTCGCCGCTTGGAGAATCCGGGGAAAGAGCTTCACCTGTGCGGGTCAGTACGGTGCTTACCGAGCACTGGAAATACAGCTGCTCCAAACTGAGACGTGCCATCAGTGTGAGGAGGACACTGGGTTTCAAAGGCTTAGCATGAAAAGGAGGAATGCAGACTGTCTCAGTAGTTTGTGTATTGATTATGTGTTGGAATAACATTTGTGTATGTTGGGTTAAACAAACAGTCTTAAAATTAATTTTACCTGTTGCTTTTGAATGTGGCTGCCAGAAAATGTCTCCTTATGGTTGAGTCGCACTTGCTGTTGTAGACTAGGAAGGTGTACAGGGGTGAGTACCCCCTCTCTTACTCACACGGGCGCTGACCGCTCTGCACACACCCCCGCCCCACTCCCAGGCTACGCCCTGGAGTAGAGGATGCCACTGGGAGAGTGGATGAGGAGGTGCGCAGAGCTCCCAGGCTGGGTGTGTAGAATTGGTTCTTCAAGTACTGGAGGCTGTCCCTGCTCTCCAGCAGTGGGGGTGACATGTTCACGGTGCGTTTGGGGACAGTTGGGGGAAGAGGTAGAGTAGGCAAGAAATGACTGCAGGACAAGAAATCAGGAAAGTAGTTAGACTGTTGTTGTCCTCCTAAATCAAAATCAGACAAACCGATTTGGATTGATGAAATGCTTTCTTGTGAGGCTGAGGAAGAACACACGAACGTGTCGCCCTCCCCTTGCTGAGGCCGAATAATTAAGGTGAACAATTACCTTGTGGCCTGGATGCACCTTCTGCCTTTGCTGATCCAGATGAGGCCCTGATTCTCACCTGGGTCCAATTTGGCCCTTGGTGTGGCTCTAGACGTCCCCCCCCGCATCAAGTACTTTTCTCCCTGGAAACACACTTCCCCATCAGGCACATTCCAGAAGGAGGGGGGGTGAGGTGGGATTTGATAGATATCAGCCCCAAAAGCCTCCTGGACAAAAGTCTTTAAACCTTAACTGAACACCAGCTTTTTGTGAAAATAATCAGGATGTTGAGGGTTTTTTTTTTTTTAACTTCTTTCTGGAAGGTAACTGTTTTGTGTAAAAGAAAACACCTGCTGCTTCTCAGGCAGTTTCAAAGCACAACCTGTGGTTTAAAAGTACAGAAATACACGTGTGGTGTGAAGCATTTGCAGGCCGAATACGTGCGGGCTGGGGAGGGTGGATCAGGGAGTGTCCGCAGCGCCGTGGGGCCTTGGGCTGCCTGCAGGTGCCGTGGGACAGGGCGGCCAAGAGCCGCAGCTATCTGCCCCTCTGGAGAGTTAGACCCAAGTTTAGAGGATTGACAGTTTTCTTTTTGCCGGAGCTCAAAATCCAGATACCTACAGGACCGAGGGTAGTCCCAATGTTTTTCACCTGAACCGCCACCAAAAAAGCATCAATAACTGCTGATTTTTAATTGCTCGCATTATTCTCAGAACAACCACCTGCCCTTGTGTACAGCGCTGATTTATGATCCAGCTCCCAAAGATCCGTTCCTCCCCCTGAAGCCCATCAGATTTCTGGCTCAACAGGCTTTCTTTTTTTTTTTAATTAGGTCTACCGCATGTTGTTTTTGCAGGGCGAACCTTCCCGACACATCCGTACTTCTCAGCCCAGCTTGGGGCGGGGCAGCTGTCACTCTACAACATTCTGAAGGCCTACTCGCTTCTAGACCAGGAGGTGGGGTACTGCCAAGGCCTCAGCTTTGTAGCGGGCATCTTGCTGCTTCACATGGGTGAGGAGGAGGCATTTAACATGCTCAAGTTTCTGATGTTTGAAATGGGACTGCGGAAACAGTATCGGCCGGACATGATTATTTTACAGGTAGAGAACGTTCCTTATGTATGTGCTAGAAACAAATGCCAAAAATGTTTAGGGTTCCTTTCCAGGTCTCTCTCTAAGGAACTTTTCCCACCATCCGTCAACACTGGAGTAGCCGTCCTTGCTGAGCATTTAACTGTGTGCTAGGCATGATGCCGAGCGTTTCATATTGCTCTTACCGCCTCAGTAGACACTGTTAATCAGCTCAATTTATAGATGGGAAGACTCACCTTAACTCAGGGAACCCGGCTAGCAAGTGGTCGAGTTGGGGTTTCAACCCAGGCCTGTCTGACTCCAGGACCCTCCCTTTACCCTTCTTCAAACCATCTTCAGACAATCTTAATTCCTACCTCCCACTCTGTTTGTCACTTCCTCTGCCAGGGATCCCCCTCAGGCCCCCCTTAGCCCTTGTCACCCAGGGTTCAGCTCACATATCAAATCCTGGGAGAGGCTCTTTCTGACCATCCTGATGCTGTGCCCCCCCCAAACCCAGGCAGGTGGATCATGTTATCCTGTCTCATTTCTTTTGGCATAAAACACTAACTGCCTGAAATTATCTTGTTTCTTTATTCATTGACCTGTTTACTCTCTGACTTTCCTTAGCATATCTCATGAGAAGGCAGGAATCTAACCTATGTTGGAGCTCCCTAGTACCTAGAACAGCGCTTGGGATGATGTAGGCACCCAGTCCGTATTTGTTGAACGAACAGGTGGCAGGTCAGAGCAAAGGAAAACCAAAAGGCAGTGCCAAGCACTGCTCCTGCCGCTTTCAGAGGTGGGGAGAGCTCCGGATCCTGCTTTGGGAATATTCCTAAATGTCGGATCGCGTGGATACCTGTTCATTTACCAGCAAGCTACCCTGACTTCAGAGCCTTAGGATTTTTTTTTTTTTTTAAAGAAAGAATGCATTAGAGCCAAGGACTCTTTGAGGGCACCAAATTGGGTGGCTAAAAATCCTTTTACCTCCACCTGTGACTATGAACCCCCCCATGAACATAAATCTCCTAAAAGGAAGCCATTTCATTAAAAAATTTTGACCCATGTAACACTTCCCATGGATACTGTCCCAGGTTCTTTCTATGTTCTCCCCATTAGCTTTAATATAGGTGCACCTGCCATCAAAGAGCGTGGAATTTTCAAGTTAATTTAGTATTGCAACACATGACTCTTTTGGGGCTTTTGGCCTTGGTGACTAGATTCTTTTTGATCCTAAAAAGCCACAGCTGGTACTTAAGGGCTATGTTGTCTGGGCCACTGGAAAAAGTTTTGGATTTGTGTGTGTGTGTGTGTGTGTGTGTGTTTCGTTTTGTTTTGTTTTTTGTCGGTTTGGGTGATACATGTCCAACCTGTAGCATCTCAGTGGGGTTCTGACCCTCTCTAGATGGTGATACCTTTGGGCTCAGGCCATCAGACTGCCGAAACCTGGGCTGACTCTAGGACCCTGGCAAGCTGTGGGACCCATCTCAGGCTTCCTCCCGGGACCGTAGCATTATCTGAAGAGGGGACCCTTTGGAAATTATTTTCTGCATCTTGAGATAAACAGTTGTCTTCTTATTTTAACTTGCCCAGGATCTGTATATTTCATATATTATAAACCTAATAAGGAAGTCCCACCTGTCCTGCCTGTTGAGTAATTTCAGGGGTTCTAGGCAAATTTACTAAGTGAACAGGTGTAATAGAATCCTTCCACAGAATCATCTTATGCCCCCACTTCACTCTTACATTGTGAATTACCCCGGGTGCAAGTTTTGCTAGGCATATGTATTTTGTAAGAGAATGTGTGAAATGTTCCCACAAGATAGATGTTTAGATTCTAGTAGCCAAGGAACTCAGGGAGCAGTAGAAAGAGAGAAAGTGGTAGGAGATGACCCGACATTCTTGTTCCGGGCTCCCCCTGGCCAGTACCTCTTGTGCACCAGGCCCCCAGCAAAAATGCTCGATGGGTAAGTGAGCGGATGAGATCATCACACTCCAAACAGAATATCTAACAGCGTAATAATTCTTCTCTCACAGCCTGTGAGTGGGATAAGGAACTGAACACAGTAGCAGGTATCTGGTTCTGACACTGTGTGTGTGTGTGTGTGTGTGTGTGTGTGTGTGTGTGTGTGTGTGTGATTGTGTGTCCCCGCAGATCCAGATGTACCAGCTCTCAAGGCTTCTTCACGATTACCACAGAGACCTCTACAACCACCTCGAGGAGCACGAAATTGGCCCCAGCCTCTACGCCGCCCCCTGGTTTCTCACCGTGTTTGCCTCCCAGTTCCCACTGGGATTTGTAGCCAGAGTCTTTGGTAAGTGGGTGTCCATCCGTTTGCCCAGACCAGCTTCTCCTGTCAGGTAGGAAACATGTATTCTCATTGCCTGGTGAGCCTCCATACTTTTATACCTGTATCTTCGGCAAGAATAGGGTGTTGTTTGACATTCGGAGTCTAGTTGGCATTGGGTTTTGTGAACTTCACTTTCTCTGATACTCATTGGCTTCCCTGGACACTGTCATCTGATGGGGTTTAGACCCAGCCCCTCACCACCAGGCTCTCCGCAGGGCAGACATCTTTAAAGAGTTGACCCCGGGGGCCCCAGGCATGTATTCCAGGCTTTTGTGTCGCATGAGTTGTCTTCCTCCACCTCTCTGACATGATGGCTCCTTCAGACTTCAACTGGTGACTTCTGGGCTCCTGTTTTTTCTCAATTCCCTTCACATCTCTTCCCACTTGACTTCTCCTGCCCTTGGCTCTTCATTTCCTCTGCCAGCTCAGTCTGCAAGGACCCCCTCCATGCTGATGACTCACTCACTGGTCCACCCTCACAGGCCTGCGCGTCTTCCCAGACACCTCAGCCCCTTCCATGTGGGGGCTCACATTTCACGCCATCTCCTACTTTTTTTTTTTTTTTTTTTAAGATTTTATTTATTTATTTGACAGAGAGAGAGAGACAGTGAGAGAGGGAACACAAGCAGGGGGAGTGGGAGAGGGAGAAGCAGGCCTCCCGCTGAGCAGGGAGCCCAACGCGGGGCCCGATCCCAGGACCCTGGGATCATGACCTGAGCTGAAGGGAGACGCTTAACGACTGAGCCACCCAGGCGCCCCCATCTCCTACTTTCTTGATTTACTTTTGGAGAAGATCGTCTCTGTCAAAGTCAAGCGGGTGTTCACGTGCAGAGTCTCAGCAGCCTTGAGATGGCAGGGAAAGCAGGTGCACTTGAGCTCCAGGAGCCGAGTGACGCTGGGAGCACGGGCAGTTCTCCCATAGTGGGTTTCCCTACGTCAGAGTGAAAGAATCATGTTGACAATTCAGGTTCTTTTTAAATTTTTTTTTTTTTTTACTATGGAAGTTATTAAAAAATTGATAATCATCACCCATCGAGTATTTTTAAAGTGTCACTGATGTTCACTCACCTGATAGTTTAAAAATCTGCAATCTTCTCATACTTTTTTAGATTTGCTTCCAGAATTAGAGAACATCTCAAAGGGGGAGGGGGTGTCCAGAACCATTGAGAGAGCACTCCTTTGGCATGCTTGGGAAAGACAGCTTTGTAGATCCAAATTTTAGAAATCCTGAAATTTGCTTTTTAACATAGGTGGGCACTGAGTTGCTCTTCGCACCTCTTTCCCCCAGAGTACAAATTTTTTATTCTTATTCCTATCCGCAAGAACTTCTAAAGAATGTCCCATTGGGCTTTACTAGAAGAATCCGTGTTCTTAAAATATTCACTACCCCCACCCCTTTTTGCCTAACTCCCTCCCCAAACTGATTCTTACTTTCTGTCCCTTAAAAAAAAAATAATTGGAAAAAAGATACTTAAAAAAATCTTTCCTGGTTAAATAAATCATTAGTGAGATTTCATGAAAGTTTTATACCATAGTTTAAAAAGAAGATAATTGGGGCACCTGGGTGGCTCAGTTGGTTAAGCATCTGCCTTCGGCTGGGGTCATGATTCCAGGGTTCTGGGATGGAGCTGCCTCCTCAGCGGGGAGCCTGCTTCTCCCACTTCCTCTGCCCCTCCCCCTGCTTGTGCTCTTGCTCTCTCTCAAATAAGTAAATAAAATCTTTAAACAAATATATAAAAAAAAGATAATTAAAAGCCTGAAAATTATCTGCTTAGTTTACTTACAAGAGTCACCAAAATCATAAGCTCTCTAGCTGTAGGCTGGAAGTCTTTCTTGCCAAAAATGTCTGTTTTTTTTTTTTTTTTTTTTAACTTTTCTTACTCTGGAAATTGAAAATCATTAGTCCACTTTTTCTCCTGATTTTTTACTGTTTTTTCCAAAACAGGGTAACAGGAGTGAGGATTGAAAGAGGTGGGTGGGAAGGGGAGGGGTTGGTGTTCATGCTTTGAAAACAGCTCAAGCATCGAATTATAGCATTTGTGAGAAAAATTCTGCAAAGGGGACTCCGATGAGAGGGTCAGCACTGAGGGATGGCCGCCTGGGCCTTTGGGTGCTGCCTTGCAGGTAGCTCTGGGGATACCAGGGCCATAGAACTCTGGGAGAGTTGCATAAGTAAGAACTCTGCTTTGGAGATGACAGCCCTCCTGTTAGAGAATATTCGCAACTCTAAAGCGCATTCTGCCGACTTCATAAATTAAAAGCTAAAGCCGGCAAGAGCAGGCTATTTCTATTATGTAATCAGTGGTGAGTCTTGGAGGCTCTCCTACATTGTGCATAAAGATGCCAGTGTGTGTAACTCCTGGGTCCTGTGCACAGACCCCTGCTGTACTAAGTGGGTCCTTATCCAGCTGGCTGAGACTCCTCAGATTGTAGGCAGGAAGTGGGAACTCAAGGCAGCACTGTGTGTGATGTCATTTTGCAAAAACTGTTGGTTTTTGTTTTTTGCACAGTCTATTGCATCTGCCAGGACTTAAAACCAAACCATTTTATTAGTAGGTTCCATAGAAAGGTTTTTTAAAAACCACTTCTGCATTTAGCATTGGTGACTTGAACCGTATTTATTAAGCTCCATGATGGTGGATAGCTTAGTTTTAAATCCCCAGACCTGCCATTCATACACTGTAGTCTGTTTGGGCCTGAAGCCCATTTCCTTGTAAGCCTTTAGGCCTGAATAAACCCTAAAAACAAACGGACCTTTGTCAGCTGTTCACCATTTCGTATGGAAGTGCAGGATTCTCAGCTTGCAGACAGCATAATTCATATATTAATTAACAGGTTACTTCACATTAGGTATATGCTCCTTGGAGGAACACCAGCCAGTGATGCTTGCACCTTAACCTTCCCGTGGTGATCACACTTCCGGAATGTCAGCCCTCCTGATTGGGTGTCACAGAATGTAAAATAGCCTCCTCCTGCATGTCTTTAGTTCGGGTGGAGAGGGGTCCTGGGAGAGATGCTTGCTCCGTTGACCTTCAGATCACACCTACCTTTGGGGGGTAAAAAAATCTGAAGAATAGGCCCTGGCTTGTTCCTGATGGAGGAGGTGGCTGTGGTCTGGAGGCTCCTGATGTTTGCTAGAGGATGTGCTGCCAAATAGATGAGGGAGGAGGTGGAGTGGAGAAAGGAAGGGTTTGGCAGAAAACACAGAAGCCACCTGTAATAGAGGGAAGGATTCAGAGAGGCTTTAGGACTAAAATAGACTTAAGAAAACAAGATGGTTTAAATGGCCAGGAAAAAAAGGCTCCCTCGGGGAACATGATCCAGTGGCAGGGAAGTGAGTTTGTGCAGCCCTGTTTGTGCTGTGGTCCTGCTGCAGATCTGCGAGCATCCTTCATGTTCCTCCCACCTGCTCCTGGTAGGAAGGGGGAGCTCTCACACCCAGAGCACCCCAGCCTCCCAGGAGAGAGGAGAGGGCTTGCCCTTGAAAGCAACAAAGGTGGCTGGAAAAGAGGATGCAGGCTAAGTTCGCTTTACTGGCCTTGTGCTTTGCATAGATGGTCCCCTGCCCCCCACCTACAGTCCCATTCCCACCCCACGCCCCCGCCCCACTGCCGCCGCCCCAGGAAAACTGCACCTTTAGGTCATGGGCATTTCCAGCAGAGTTCTGATAGGTTAATAACAGAACAACAGGGCTGCTGAAGTGTCTTCAAAGGAAAGTGGTTATTTGCATTGTTCTCAGCAAATAATTTGCAAAAGTGGCCAAGTCAGCTGAATTTCAGGTTCCCTTTACTTCCTGCCTGATAAAACCCTTTGCCTGTTTCTGGGTGGCTTGAAGCAGGAGGGAAGGGAAGTTGGCTGCAGTGTGGGGAGCAGGGCTTCTAGGGGCCGCCGGGGTGGCTCCAGCAGTTGGCTTTCTTGTACAGTGTTTTTCAGATGCAGGCAATGAACTCACTTTTCCAAGGAGGCTTTTTTTTATTTCCAGAATGTAAATGTATAAGGATTGGAAGATGGACAAAAATGAAAATAATTGGATTAGAGCAGTGAGTTTATAGGTAACATTTTTCTCTGCAATTCCTTAATTATTTAAGTTTTAAAATTTCCAGAGAAAAAGGTAGTCATTGTTTAAGGGTTATAGATATTGCCCCCAAGGCTAGTCAGATAAATTCAGGAGTCCCTGCCACCAAGCAAAATTTTGGTGGGCAGAGGGGTGGGGGAGGTCCTTCCTTTAACCCTTCTGGCACATTCCTTCATCGTGCACCAAAATGAGCTCCTTATTTGAGGCCTCCCCAGGCTGACTGGCTTCTGGGGCCCAGCTCCCCCACCCGGACTCGTGTGGCCGGCCGGCTTGCCTTCAGGAGGGTGGGCACCTGGAGTGGGCCTCCGGCAGTGCTAGGCGAGCATCTTGTGGCTGGCAGCAGGCCCCCCTGAGTCTGCGGGTGGGAATCAGGGTGGTCTCATCTGTAGTGGCTTTTCTCTGTCTAAAGCTAAATAGCCTTGGCAAGGAGCAGGCTCCGACTGGGTCTCGTTAATATCATCTCCTTACCAGCGCACTGACCGACTCCGGAAAAAAAGGAACAGGAAGCCCTGGCTGACCCCTGCTGTGCTCTGGGTAAAGTTAGAATGCTGATGTCTGGACGGAATGCCCTTGGTGACCCCCCCCCACCCGCTGCCCCCCTCCTTCCCTCCTCACTCCTGACCTCGCAGGTTTCTTTTGGTTCTTCAAGATTGGATTTGGCAGCCACCTTTCCTTAGAATTTTTTCATCCCTTTTGTTCTCCTAACACCTGGGCATAACTCTACCAAACCAACAGCTTTTGGTGTCTCTGCACTTTGCTGTTTGTACTTCCGTTCACGGCTTGATCTCTGGTACCTAGTACAAAGCCTGGCATATATTAGATGCTCAGTGAATGCTTGCTGACTTAAATGAGAGAAACTTCTCAGCAGATAGAAGAGTGCTCTTAGATGCTGGGAATAGCATTAGGAAAGAACATTTGTATTATATTAAATACAGACAGAACCAATGAGACAAATATATCCAGGGCTATATATTCAAAGAGTGTAAAAACAAAAACAAAAAAGACCCCACCAGGGCACCTGGGTGGCTCAGTTGGTTTAGCGACTGCCTTCGGCTCAGGTCATGATCCTGGAGTCCCGGGATCGAGTCCCGCATCAGGGTCCCTGCTTGGCGGGGAGTCTGCTTCTCCCTCTGACCCTCCCCTCTCTCATGTGTGCGCTCTCTCTCTCTCTCAAATAAATAAAATCTTTAAAAAAAAAAAAAAAGACCCCACCACCTCTCCCACCTTTTTGTTGTTGTTGTTTTCTTCATACGGCCCAGAAAAGTCAGAGTTTAGAATGGTAGGGAGCACTCCGCTAAGTAGATTTGTTATAAAAACCAAGATCCTGGGGCGTCTGGGTGGCTCAGTCAGTTAAGCGTTCGACTCTTGATGTCACCTCGGGTCGTGATCTCAGAGTTGTGAGATAGAGCCCATGTCTGGCTTCATGCTGGGTGTGGAGCCTGCTCAAGTAAGATTCTCCCTCCCTCTGCCCCTCCTACCCTCCTCTCTAAAACAACAGCAACAACAACAAAACCACCAATAAAACTTGGAAGACCTATTGTTTGCCTTAAGGGATTGCTGATATGGATTGCATATTTGATTGTGCTCCTAAAACTTCCCCGATAATTACTTCTCTTACTTGGCTTAGATGTGGCACTCTATCTAGTTACTAGTACATGTCTCTCAGAGACTAAAGACACTGAGCTCTGGCAGTTGGGCCGGTCGTGCAGTCCTCTCCCAGGACCCTTGCACAGAAGGCTTGGTATGTATTCTGATCGATGCCATCAATATTTGTTCAGCTATAAAAGTTGATCTACTGAAAGGAAGTCTTGCTGTCTAAACCCAGAAGCTTCAAGTTTGTTTTGGGAAATATTTCTTTTTAAAAACACATCTTCGTTATAGTGCTGTTTGAGATCTTTTGTATTTTCTGTAGTGATGAATTACGTGGGTTAGGCTGTGTATTTCATAAAGCAGACATTTCACAAGAATATTCTTATATAGGGCTATCTTGATACACATAGTACTTCCCCTAAGAAGCTCAGATTTCAAAGATACGACCAGTTCTCTAATTTATCTTCCCAGCCTCTGCAGCCACACTTAAGAAGGAGGCCGCCCTCCTCTTTCAGCTTCCTGGGGCCTTTCCAGCTTTGTGGGGCCGTCCAGACCGTGAGCACTTGTGACATTTGTGGAAACAGTGTGGCCCTGAGCTCTGTGAGAGACACAGGTTGACAACGCACCCTGGCACCGGGTCTGCCGGTGTGGCCAAGGCCTTGGGGAAGGTCACAGAGCATCCCCAAGGGATGACCCGGCCACCCAGCGCCGAGGCCTGCCCTGTGCGCAGCCCACAAACCACTCCGACACGGACACCTTCCCCTTCCCCATGTTAGCAGCTTCCAGCCTTTCTTCTTTTCTTCCTTCCTTTTTTTTTTTAGATTTTGTTTGTTTATTTGACAGAAAGAGACACAGCGAGAGAGGGAACACAAGCAGGGGGAGTGGGAGAGGGAGAATCAGGCTTCCCGCGGAGCAGGGAGCCCGATGCGGGGCTCGATCCCTGGACCCTGGGAATCATGACCTGAGCCGAAGGCAGACGCTTAACAACTGAGCCACCCAGGCGCCCGAGCCTTTCCCGTTTCTTGATGGCTTCTCTGCCTTGTCACGCTAAACCACCTAAAAAAGCCCAATGCTGGGGGGATTCTTCCTCTCACCTGCTTTTGTCTTCCAGAATTTGATGAACTGGACCACTACTTTGTGTCTCTCATTATCCCTGCAGCTCCCCACCCCCCATATTGACAGTTGCCTCTAATTAGATTTATGTCCTCATCTTTAAAATGATACTTTTTTCGTGTATTTTTAATTCCAGTTGTTAAGTTACTTGCCTGAATTTAGTCATCACTTAGTTGCTAGGGGTGTGCTTTGGCCCCAGGGCGATTTGACTCTGTCAGGTGGCTTCAGCTCTGTGAGGAAGAGGGGAAGCCAGGGCGAGGCTGGCTGCTCACCCCGTTGCCTGGACCACTTGCCCTCCCTCTCAGCACGTCCAGTCAGTGTAGGGGTTGCTAACATTGGCCAACTGTTGGAAGAAAAAACTATGGCAAGTACTAGAAAATAACTCTGACGGAGTTCTTTGAATTTCTCTGAAGGAAGATGGTTTTTACTGCATTGTTATGGTAAAATCCAGCATACTGGCAAGTATTTAATAATGTACTTTTGCAACTCTGCAGACATTTTATAGATTTTAGAGATCTTTTAGTTCCTTCTTTCAAAACGGGAAAGAGGTGCAGTTTTTTATCTTAATTTCTGATGCTGTGTATCTAAACATCTTTCAGTTTTACTCATAAAAATGTGTTTTAGAAACTCTTTTTAAACCCCAGAGCATTTCTAGAAAAATAGTGTAATAAAAAGTTTTCTTTTAACTTTTGAAGCATGTTAAGAGTTTAATATATTTTTAGAACAATAACAAAGATTGAACCTGTGAGACAATAGCTTAACAGTACGTTTATCTGTATTTCTTTTACTATTTGCAATATTGTCTTGACAACCTTATCTGAAATATCAGGCACTTCAAAAGGAAATAAAGTTTGCAGTTTGGGCTTACAGTTTCCCACCATCCTGCTCTGATGTGTGGACAAGAAAATGCAATGTTACTTCATCGGAAACTGGTCTGGTTTAACTTTCTGCATTTCTGTGTTTTCCCAGATATGATCTTTCTTCAGGGATCAGAGGTCATATTTAAAGTGGCATTAAGTCTGTTGGGAAGCCATAAGCCCTTGATTCTGCAACATGAAAACCTAGAAACCATAGTTGACTTTATAAAAAACACCCTTCCCAACCTGGGCTTGGTGCAAATGGAAAAGACCATCAGTCAGGTATGCTTCAGTTGACCTTCCAAAGGCTTACGCCCTCCTGGATTTGGAGAGCTTAATTTTCTTTTGATCGGGACCTGCCTCCTACCACTTGGTTGCCCGGCAGGTAGGAAGCTCATGGCCAAATACATGTTCAGTGACTTAAGTGCATGTCCGAGCGCGCGTGTTTTGGGAATGTGATGGGGCTGGGCCACATGTGAACAAGGGGGCAGTGGTCAGTGCTGACAGCCAGCACAGTTTATCGGTAGTTACTTACAGTTAAGGGGCTTCACCCCTAGTTGTTTGTTCTTCTGAAACACATGTGCTATTCAGTGTAGGCTCTTACAGTAGGAGTGCTTTGGTTTTTTTTCTGCTGCGTGGTATTATTTGGAATTTTCTAAAAATAACCCTTTGATAGCAAAATCATGATAGTATATATTCTAGAGATTTGTTTCATGATGTGTTTTCTCTTTCTTTTTTTTTTTTTTTTTAATAGAATTCAGTTCCATATCTGTGGCTTGAGCACCTCTGGTTTCTGTAGCCAACAGAACCGTTTCTCTCAAATGTTAGGGGCAAGGGTGAATTGAGCCAGAATTACAACTAGATCAGTTGTTCAATGGTCTGGTTTAGGGATGAGAGTAGATTTTTGACTCTGTATAAAGAAGAGTCTTCTAGTAATGTTTGCTGACTCTGAAGGACTGAGCTATTTATTTAGCAGAGGGTGGATCACCACTGCAAGTGTCCAGGGACTGGATGGCTGAGAATGCTCTGGAAGGGATTTCTGCATCGGGGCCAGCAATCAAGCCCTTCCTAAGCCTAGAATTTACCTCACCTGCTCCCAGTGAAATGCAAACAGAGTAGTTAGGTAAAAACAAGTAGTGAAACAGAGCTAATTTTTAAAGAAACCCTTATTCTGAGGACTTCTGACAGTCCAAGAGGAATCCAGTAATTCTGGCGGACTGCACCCAGATGCGGTGTTTTTGGTTTTATTTGCTGCCCCTCCTTCAGTGTGGAGCACAGAGAAAGAAGCAGGTGTGGCCTGGGGAGGGGAGCCAGTGTGAGCCTGGGTGACTCTGGATCTCCGCACATTTCCTACGCCCCTACTTCGAAAGGGTGCTGCTTTTCCACTCTGCACTTTCGTTTTTAGTGAATTGATGCATCTTTCTGTATTTTGCTTCCCTGGCACGTTTCTCTCAATGTGAATAGCTTTGGCTTGTTCTGGCCCTACTTTCTGCCAGGTTCTGTGTGAATCTAGATATGCACAGGATCTCATTTCATCATGACCGCATTCCTGAGAGGATAGGTGGTTTTAACCCATGAGGAGCATAGGGCGCAAAGAGGCAAACTCGCTGGCCCTCGGTCACCCTGCTGCCGAGGGTTGTGGTGGGGCTTCTCTTGCCTCAGAATGACTTAGCAGCTTCTCAGCGCCACCATGCGCCTCCGGGCATCGTTTAATTACAAAGATTTTTCTATATTTTACCTGTATGTTAATACTGAATTCTCTGCCCTTTTGGTTCTTGAATTTTTGACATTTATGAGCACTGATTCCCTTTTAGAGCTTTCACTGCGTATACTTATATTTTATGGCCCCCAGGGCAAACGCAGAGAGCCTTGGTTACCCCAAGTCTGTGCCCAGGGAGTGCCTCTACCTGGCTCCTGGCTCTAAGGCAGGCAGGCTCACCTGACATTCAATTTACCTCCTGGATATTGAGCCCCAGAAAAGAATCCCATTTTCTCCTCCCTTTTCTGTAAAGAATACTTATTCACAGTATCGGGTTCTCCTTAAATGTTGGAGGAATAGAAACGGACACAGCATGGAGAGAGTTTTCTGTGTGCACGCGCATGTGTGTGCACCTGGTTTCAGGCAACTGTCTTGAGCTTGGGATCCTTTATTCCACTGACTCCTTAATAATCCTGGGATGTGTATTATAATCCCCATTTTTATAGGTGGGGAAACTGGGCATGGATAGAGTAACATGCCCAACACTCTGTGTGCGATGGCAGAGCCAAGAATGTAATGTGTCTCTGACACCGGAGCCCATCCTGTGCAGAGAATGAGCATGGAATCCAGTAATTCCAAGTGTGTAAGAGCCACAGTGGTGCTCATGCAAGGGCATATGGGAGCCAGGCTGGTGGAGTGTGCACTGTTGATTGGGAATTGGGAGAGTTGAATTCAGCTGGGCCTAAGGAATGAGCTAAGAACAGGGGTCAGCAGACGTTTTCTGCAGTGGGCCAGATAGTAAGTCTTTCAGGCTTTGTGAGCCAGAAGGTCTCTGTTGTAGTCACTCTACTCTGCCTTTGCAGCACAAAGGGCAACCAGCAATACATACGTACATGAATGAGGTGACTGTGCTGCAATAAAACTTTATTTACAAAAACATACAGTGGGTCAGATTCAGTCCACAGGGGGCTCTCTGCTGATTCCTGATCACAGGCATGGGAGTGAGAATTGAGAGAAATTCTAGATGCCTTTGCATTGAACTTTGAAGGGAAGGGTCATTGTGGATTGGGAGCAGCAGTGTGGGGAACACAAAAGTCTACATTTTGGGGCCCAGGTTTTCATCCTACCAAGAGTCTCAATGGGAAGCCCAGCTCTCTACCCTCCGGCCCGCCCATGCTTTCCGTCTGGAACTTGACACCTGTCAGGCTCACTGCCCCCCCCCCCACCTAGAGGGTGCTCTAGTTTCAAGTCCCACTCGGAGATGAGGCCTGAGGTACAGTGCGACTCCTTGGCAGCCTGAGAGGGCCCCCAGGCTCAAGTCTTGGAGGTCCACAGGGTGCAAGTGACAGAACATTCATTGCAGCCGACAGAGCATACTGTCTTGTATGTGAAAGTCCCGGTGGGCCTCTGTGATCGTTATGGCTCCACTTCATTCACTGCCTTTTCTGTGGATGGCCTGAGCTTGAGCAGTGGGGACATAGCCTGCATCCAGGATGGGAGAGAGGGAGCTGAGGATAGGGCTCCACCGTTTTGGTTCAGTATGGACAGGTCCAGAACTGACAGAGCCCAGGGCAGAAGGGGAGGGGTCTCTGAAGTCTCTGTGGCAGGTGCTCAGTTTAACTGTCAGTTGAATATGAGCCATAAAAATCCTCTGACCCAACAAGGGGGAAACCCTGGGAATAAACAGAAACCAAGAGAAGGAGCTGGGCTTGTCACGGCGAGCGCTGTCTGCGTCTGCCGGCTCGTTTCAGTGTAAGGAAGAGCAACAGTTGGAGGGGACTTTGGGAGACAGAGCAAAGAGCCGGTTTTCAGGTTTTCAACATCCTTGGGGCGGCATTCAGAGTGTGGCTCCAGACCCACACCTGTCCTTGTACCCTGTAGGAGCTTGTCAGAAATGCATAATCTGGGGCCTTGCCCCAGGCCTGCTGAGTCATAATCTGCATTTTAACAAGAGCCCCAGGGGATATTCTCTCTCTCTCTTTCTCTCTCTCTCACACACACACACACACACACACACACACACACACACACACACACAGGAACATTTGAAAAGCTCTGCTATGGGCAGCTTCATTGAACACACTAGACAATTCCCTGTTCTAGTTGAGCTTGTAGGATAGAAACCAGAATCTTAACAAGGTTCCTTTGTTCAGGAGCCGCTCCTCAAATCCCCAGTGTTCAGACGGCCTCTTCTGCGCGGGGAGGAGCCCTCGCGGCTCAGGCAGTTTTGGGCAGCTTGCTGGGCTGAAAACAAGGGCTTTTTCCAGAGGCCAATCAGGGCCGTTCCAAAAGGGTGGGGTACAGTGAAGAGGAATATCTTACCACTGGGATTGTTTAGAATTGCTTGCATGTGGTGATCATAAAAACAGACCAGTTTTTAGTTGGGTTTCTAATTTTTAAATTCACTACAGGCACTGTAGCCCCTCGTGGCTGATCCCCAGGCACCCTGCTCAACTCACTGAGATGGACGGGGGGGGGGGGGGGGGGGGGGGGGGGGGGCGGTGCGGCGCAAGGCCTGGAGGCTGGGAAGGTGGAAAGTACGTGGCCAAGTCTGCAGACGTCAGGGTTAATGGCTTCATTACACAGAGTGTCCACAGATTGCAAAGGCGAACTCACTGTGTCTCCAATAGCAAACGAGCCAAGAACATAAACAGACAATTCACTGAAGAGGAGATCCATCTAGTAAACAAATATCTGGGAAAATATTTAGCTTCATGCATAATTTAAATAACATACAATGCTCTACCTACTAGATTAACAAAATGAAACATATTAAGGCCAGTACCCAGTGCCAAGGGTAGACTGTATCTGGCACATTGGTGTGTTGTTGTTAATGGCATTGTGCATCGATTATTCCCATTTAGGAGGCAGTTTGGCGATGTGTATCACAAGCAGCAGTAAAATATTCATACCCTTTGACTCAGTAATCCCATTTCTTGGAATGTATCCGTAGGAAATAATCCAAAATATGGGAGAAGCCATATGTACGAGGATGTTTAGAGTTGTCATTTATAACTACAGAAACTTTACAAGTAACTAGATATCCAGCACTTGATGAATGGATTAACAGGGTTATGCCACGTCGAGTAGGTAGGATAATGAAGCCATTTGTAATTATGGTCATGTACAATATATACAGCAACTCGAAAAAGCCTTGTTTGAGGACCTGGGCTCTCCTTTCTCCGCCAGCCACATACTTCCATGCTTTGGGATCAATTCTAGGGCATAACTGCAAAATCAAGGGCTCTAAGTATTTCAGCAGCCAGGAGATAATGATGCAATTAAGCAGTGATGATTATGCCCAGGATGGTTCCTGGGAATTAATGGAGTCCTGAAAGAGTGTACAACTTTGGGCACAGCTGAGAGCCATTAACCTTAGCAGGTCATCAGTCTGTATTAAAGGCCACAGGTTTTCTTCCCAGGTTTTCCAGATTAGTAGCTCATTTAAAAATAAGTCTCCATGGAAGAAAAGAAGTAACTGTACATTTATTCTGCATCATATTTATAATTATACACCAGTGCCACGGCAGTCTCGGTTTTAATGTTTGCGGTTTTTACTGTGTTTGAGCTATTCAGAGGTTCCGTGATGTGGCATCCTTTGTAATTTTGCTAAAGCACAAGGTTGAATGTGAGGGTTTCATGACAAGTGTGTGGAAGCAGCTTCCTTAGCTAAGTGAGCACCTACTCACCTTGCCAGGTGTGTGCTGGGAACTCCCACGAGTTGCTTCACCTAATTCCCACAGCGATGCTGGAGGTGGGTGCTCTCACCCTGTGTCAAGGGCCAGGAACCAAGGCCAGGAAAAGTCAAGTAATTTGCTCAAGGTCATTCAGGGCATTGCCAGGGGAGCCCTGATTTGAGGGCTGAGTCCATTTTCTTGACTGCACTATAGAGTTGATAATCCCTGCTGACCTCACAGTCACTTTGAGGGACAACAGAGAATTGCCTATCAATATGGCAAACTTTCACACGCACGCACACCACAATACAATGTGTAGTAGTTTTTCAGCATAGAATGACTTTTGTGCCTAATTGGTCTTGTCCATTGAATTAAATTGAAAAGCAGGAAGCTGAAAAATTAATCTCCAGGCAGAGAAGATTGTTGGGAATGGTGAGAAAGTAAACATGGTTTTGAATATCGATTTCAGGGAAGATAGGATTCATCCATGTTTGAATGCTCATACAGCGCCGTCGGGGAAAATGAGGTTTTCATTGATTTTCGCTACGTTGGAATTTCTTTCTTAAGAAAAGACCATGAAGAGTTCCTTTGCACTCTTGAAAGGTCTAACTTCATCCTCCAAATGGGTGTTCTGTGATGCTGGCCTTGTTTCTACAGAGCCAGCATGACCGAAGGCTCAGACCCACACGCAGAGCCTCTCTGGGACTTCAGTCCTGAGCTCAGAGCCACAGCCCGTGGGGCGATCCCACAGAAACAGCTGCGGAGAGAGGCTGCGGCCGCGCCTGACCCCCTCTTCAGCGCAGCTCCCACCCAGCTCACTCAGAGAAAGTACAAACATGAACAACTCACTTGTGCACTTCGGGGCTGTTTTTCACATGGGTGGTTTTTTGATCACTGTTACTATTATAAGCAGGAAGGCATTGTTTCATGTTCACTCATCTGTGTGGGCGACATTTGGGTTTTGGCTCGTTTCTGCATAACTTATGTGCAAAGGAGGGTTTTTTAGTAAACAGTTCCATTACTTAGCTGTTCTTGTAACTCTGAAAACCCAAGTGAACTATAATTAAACTTTGACTCGGTGACTGGGCAAATATGGCTGATTCTTTTGTTTTTTTTCCCTCTCTCTTTGACCCATAGCTGATGTGTCTAACACAATAGAATTTTCAGAGAAAAAGGAAATCTGTCCTGAAATAAGAACTAAAAATAAATTTTTAATAAAAAGCCTTTTAAAAAGTAAGGTTTGGGCTTTTGGAAAATGAGTTATCAGAGACCCGTACCTATTGTTACCTTGGGTTTAGTTCTCAATGCTTCTTTTGTTCTTTCTTCCCAAGTAGAATTGTTACCTTTTCAATGCAGGGAGTTTTCCTTATTTCTCACTGATAGTACCAGGCCCGGAGTAGGTGCTTAGGGCATGCTTGTTGACATGACCACGCATGCATATGTGTGATTTTTCTCATTTTCAGTGCCTGATGACTTTTCTGTATGTAACAGGTGTTTGAGATGGATATCTCTAAACAATTACAAGCCTATGAAGTTGAGTACCACGTGCTTCAAGAAGAGCTGATCGATTCCTCTCCTCTCAGTGACAACCAAAGAATGGACAAATTAGAGAAGACCAACAGCAGCTTGCGCAAACAGAACCTTGACCTCCTTGAACAACTGCAGGTAGAGCATATTTATAAAGCTGCTTCCTGAGCCCCGAGCGTATGGTAGATCATTAGCGCACCAAACCACCAGCAGGCTGGGTTTTCCCATGACCGAGGGACCTCTCCCTACCTCCCCTCCCCCGGTCTGTTTATAGTTGGGATCAAAGGTATCCCAGGAGAACTGCTCCTTTTTATTAGGGAGCAGACAGATTATCCTTTGCTGAGGTCAGACAGTCCTGGAACTTTCTGAGAGGCTGTCTCTGCACTTAACCCTTTTAGGAGAGAGGCCCAGCGATGAACTGGGGTCCAGGATGCCTAGGGACTATTTGCTGAATGCCAGCAATTGTGCTTTGAGTAATAATGAGAGAATCAAAGTCTTGGGCTTCTGTGAGCAAAACCAGCTAGGTCCATGGAGGGATGTTAGGGGAGGGGAGTAACACAGAGATCTACCTAACAAAGCAAACCAGAGCATATGGTCACGATTTTTGAGTCCTTACTACAAATAACAAAAATTTGATTAATGAGGGACATAGTTCTCCCCTCTAGAAGCTTCCATTTTAACATGGATAAATGTGGATGAGGACATGTGGTAGAAATGCAAACAGACCATGCATACAGAAGGCTGACATGCGGTAAGCCTGGGGATGTAGTCCAGAAACGCAGCTCTGTCAGATCCAGCGTTGTCTCCACCCACACTGTTGCCCTGGGCAGACTACTGACCTGCCCTGTCCCGAGTCCCTCGTCTGTATGACACACAGTTCCTAACTGCTGAGCACAGCTCCTTTCCCAGTCACATAGAATAACGTAATGATACGGTCTACTTTCTTAATGCCATGAATGGGCGGTAGTACTGTTAATGTTAAGGAATTGTTCTGAGGGATTTAAAAAAATTTTTGAGTTGCTGCAAAGACAAATACATATTTGTCCCCGAAGTGTGTATTTTATGGTGTTCCTGGGCTGTCCTTAGAGTACGCCTGCCATCCTGACCTTCTGCATCTTTGTTTTCTCCATAGAAAGTTGCTGCTTTGCAGACACAAGCTTGGCTGCGTTATGAGAAAGGCCAGCATTTGAGAGTTTAATAAATCAACCCTTGTCCAGAATGCATTCCTCCCAGCAGGGATTTGTCCCAGGAGACCTACTGGCTATTTACTGTAAAGGAACAAAGAAAAATGCTTTCGCTGCCCAGTCCTAACCACCAGGCACATTCTGAAATTTAGCTTCTTTTTTTCCCCTACGACTGAGGTGTGCTAACTGAAAATACACTTGTGTACAGTATCTCCAGGATGTCTTGGCTGCACCCCGAAGGGGAGGCTCGCAGTGATAAAGAGACTTACTGGCCTGTAACGGTTTGCAGTGGAGGTGGTAATTTTAAGTGACTTCCAAACAAATTAGGTCTCTGAAATAGAACCTGATAGGAACATTTCTGACAAAGCTTGGACTTAATTTGGCGCATGAAGATAGGCAGTACAGAAATGGAGGGTTCCGTTTATTGGGCTAATAATACCCGTGTGATTATTTTGCGGTAAAGGGTGCAGGTAATTTCATGGCGCTTCTATGATACTGTACCCCTTTCATGACGAGAGAGGCTGTGAAAAGCTGCTCAGATCTCAAAATTCCTCAAGAAAGGCACCAAGCGGTAATTGGTCATGACTGACATCCTCCTTGGAATGGTCTCTCTTTCACCGAGTGGCTGTGGTCTTGCAGAGAGACCATTCAAGACTGCAGCTGTGCCAACCCACCAGTATTTGGAGCCCCTGCCTTGCCAGGCACCAGGGCCACTGAGGTTCAGAAGACACTGCTGCTGTCCAGGCCTTGGGACAGGGATTACGTTGTGTCAGTTTGCACGTGCTTGAAGATCGTTTTCCCATTTCCCTCCGTGAGTCACATGGGTTTACTGCCTTGCAGCCAGACTATATATGTTCTGTAAGACTCACACTTCCTTTCCTTTTTTTTTTTTTTTTAACAGTTTTCAGAGTCCAAGGATAGGTGTTAAATATAATAGTTTTCCCCAAAGTATCAAAATTGACTGTTTTCTAGCTTTGTTCTGTTCCTCTTAGTTGTCAGACGGTACCAAGGTCCCATTTATTTTCTGGTTAAACACTTAATGTTATCTAGCAGCTGGAGAGCAAAGTGTCTTTTGTCCAGCCGCACATAGAAGACAATTGCATACCAAATGGTGCCAAATAATAAGGGACATACATTTTTTATAATAAGCAGCTGTGAGTCACCCAGTGCCAGTGAACTAGGTGCTGTGGGAGCCCCGACCTGTGTACAGGATGAGACGTGCTTTTTTCCATGAGAGAGCTTCGGTCTCATTGAGGAGAGTGACAGTCCTGCAGAGCCGCTCACCACGAAGCTGGGTGGCACGAGCAGTCCTCTGTGGGGGGTGGTGGACCTGTCCCAGGCCTTGAGCCTGCGTAGGAATGTGAGGATCACAGAGCACCCCTTGCAGGTGCACACTCAGCGTGAGTGCCCCTGCCTAGTGAGTACACAGACTTGGGGAGCTCAGTCCTTCTATTTTGAGTGTTCCAGCGGCTCAGCCAGAGCTAGACTTTGAGTTGTGAGGTGTCTGTCTGGCACAAGTGTTGTCTTGTTCAAGAACCTGTTTCCCGTGTTTTGAAAATGAGAGAAAAAAAATACATATACCATTTGCCCCACCGCACGTAAGCGGGCACGTGTGCAGAGCTGCATGGGGTCAGCGAGACGGAGCGGCAGAGACTGTGCACGGGGGCCTTTCACAGACACTGCAAGGCCCGGCTCGTGCTCCCGGGAGGTGCCTGTACTCCTTGAGGTGGTGATGCCTGGTTACTGTAGGAAAACAGGCCTTTGGAACAGAGGGCCGGTACTGCTGAGGCCTTCCCCTGGAGAGGAACCGTCTGCCTCTCGGTCTGACATCAGTCTGTACGTACGAGCGTGTTTGTAAGACTGGGCCAGGCTGTGCTGCAGTAATACATAAAGCTCCAAGTCTCAGTGGCACGGCCCAGCAGCAGTTGCTTTGTCCCTGAAGCTCCACCTCCTGTTCTTGAAGCATTCTTGGCGCGGATCAGAGCTGGCTTCCCTGTCATCGGGGATGGGGGCCGGCTCCCTTTGCACTGTGAAGCCACCAACCATCTCAGAGTAGCCGCAGCAGGGAAGAAGTCCCTGCCTTCCTGTGAGGGAGCCTGGGAAATGTAGTCTTCCTGTGTGGCCGAAAGAACTGATGCTAAACAGGCTTGTCTCTGCCACAGTAGGGCTCCAAAGTGTCTCCAAGGCTGGACGGTGGAGTGTTGGGGCGAGTGCCCCCCCCGCCCCTATGTGTTCTCACTCGGTTGTTCACATTCTCGTCTTATATTCTCCAGGTGGCAAATGGTAGGATCCAGAGCCTGGAAGCCACCATTGAGAAGCTTCTGATCAGTGAAAGCAAGCTGAAGCAGGCCACCCTTGCCTTGGAGCTGGAGCGATCAGCCCTGCTGCAGACGGTGCAGGAGCTCCGGGGGCAGATGACGGCAGAGCTGCGCGGGCCGGAGCCTGACCTCACGGGGCCCGGGCCCACGGGCGACTGATGGCGCAGGAGACGGCTCCTCGCCAGAGCATGCCTCCGGGGGAGACTTGGCGGCCTTGTCCTAGCACTGTCCAGGCCTTAACTGAGAGGGACAGAGGATGCCGGAGGGAGAGAACAAGGCATGACGCGTGCTTCTCAGGGAGGACGCTGGCTTGCCAGCATGCAGACTTCTGAACTAGAACTTGCGAGTCATGGGGACGGAGGTCCCAGTGTTTTTGTTGTTTAGGTCGCAATTCGTCCCTTCTTCAGTCCCGATTACTGTACCCAGTAGGTTTAGGTGGCATGGATGTGAATAAATGCACCTTCATGTTTCCTTGTTGTTTCCTTTTTCAGCATCACTGTGCTTGCAAAGGACAGTTAGTCCTGTGGAAGTGCAAGGGCCGGGAGGGCTCTAGATGAGTCCTCTGGTTCAGATGTGGGTCCATCACTCTTCCACGTCGGGTTTGTGGGACCACACCCTCTGGTCCCCAGCAGGCCATGCAGCCAGCCCCTGTCTGTTCTGGCCATGGAAGAAGCCCCAGAGAACCATTAGGACGTCTTGAATTTAGCACTCTCCTGGGTATTTACTGAAGTTTGTCTTTTGAAAAAAATAGTTTTCATTTTTTACTTGGTCTTTAAGTATCAAAGTCATTGTAGATAAATGTTTTATGGGTAAATCACCAGTTTCTAGGCTCAAACCAAGTGTTGCTAGTGAGCGAACTGCATTTTTAGACTCATGTTTATTTCTTTGTGGGTTTTCGTCACCCTCTTAGAGCTGGGTATTTATTTTTGCTGTTGTGTGATGCAAAGCAGCTGTGAGTCCCTTTGAGTGTCTACCCTTGGGAGTCGTGTTCCCTACGGAAGTAGCCGGGCGCATCAGGATGGTCATGAGTCATGGGTGCCAGAGATCCTGGGACTTTGAAAAACGCCATCAGCCTGAAATCTCAATCAGATAGATGGCAGCTGAGCGCAGTTTTTCAGAGCTAGGAAGTGTGTTTTGAATATGACTCACAACACAACCCCTTCCCTCAGGAGGATGAGAACCCTGTGCCTTCAATAAGCAGAAAGCTGCTGATGGCTGGCGTGGCTTCGTCGGGTCCCCGGGTGAGGCCTCTGCACGAGTGCTCTCAGAATGGGCCCTTTCTGACAGCAGGATCACTCTGGCCTTTGTCACGGTAGTCCGCCCTGGTCCACAGGGCCTTCTTGTGACCCTCTCGGCAGTAGGCGTCTCTTTCAGCCTGAGGTCAAAGGAAGGATTTTCATATTGGAAGTCGTCCCAGGTCTCCCCAGACATTTCCAAGGGTGACAAACGCGCTCTCCCCGGTGCCTAACAGTTGGCCAACATTTGGGACTCCTGTGCCCCGTGTCGGAGGATAGCGGTTCTCCTTACAAATCAAGATAACCAGCACAGTAGCCTCTATCCCGAGTTGTTCCACAGATAGAACTTAGAGGAGTTAATATTTGAGGGCTTCTTTCCACCTATTTTGCTGTTGGAATGTTTAATAATGTTGAATTTTGGACATCTTATTACCATTACTCAGAAAACATGGACTCTGCATTAAATAATAAATGAGACAGCAATAAATCTGTGCCCACACTTTTATGGTGTCTGTTTTACTTGTAAACTTTGGGTTTTTGCTTTTCAGCCCGGGTAAGGGAATGCCTCCTGAACACCCCGTGGGTCAAAGTGTGAATATTCCCTAACCAGCAGTGAAGTCATTTGAGGTATTGGTACCTTGTGTTTCCAGTATTGTTACCCAAGTGCTAGTTACACTGTAGCACCTCCGCAGGAGGGTGAGTCTTAGCAGTAATGAGACGTGCCACATCAGGTGCAGGTAGCCGGCACTGGGAGGTCGCACAAGCCCGCAGATACAGGTCAGACAGAGGCTCAGCCTGTGTGGGACTTAGGGAAAGAAACATCCAGAGAGCCAATTCACGAGACTGTGTGAGGATTTGCAGAGGCAACTTCTTAATCGGAGTAAATTTCATGTTCTGTTTTTCTCCAGCACCCAGCTGTATGCACCTGCACACAGGTGTGCACTTGAAGGTTGTCTTTGATACCATTTATGTTCTCTTAGACTTAGGACATTATGTGCCCTCGGGAAGCACACTATTACATATATGTATATTTTTAAATGTGTAATACATATGTGATCTATAAAATAGAACTCAGTGCTATGTAGTAACACCCAGTCCCCTCTTAGGAGTTAGGTATGGATAGCATGACTGTGTCCAGTGTTTGTGTTTGGTTTGGTTGGTGAGTCAGGGGAGAAGAGTTGCTCCGAGTGCTATGGGGATTGGACCAAACAGGGCTGTGTGTGTAAGGAGCTGGGGAAATGAGGTTGCGGAGGAACGTACTTGAGTCAAGAGGAGCCACCAGTCGGTCCATCTGAGAAGCAGAACACACGCGGGTGCCAGAGTGGGCCTGGGCGAGGTGGCATGCAGGGAGCTCCGCGGGAAGCTGTTGCTGCTGTATCGTGACCACCTCTGTGATTCTGCAGCCAGGTGTCCGGTGGTGGGCCTGGGGCCACTCCAGGTCAATATGAAGGTCAACACTTGAGAAGAAGAGGAGGATAAGCTGGAGCCTGCCAGGCACCTCTGGTCTGTCACTTTTGACTACCATGACCTTCAGAGAAAAATGGCTCTCGCTTTACTTTTGCCTTCCAGATCTCACACAAGCATGTCTTTGAGCCATGTCTGACTGAGAACCACCAGGGGAGGGGACTCGGGGAAAGGTAGTTCCGGCTTAACCAGGTTGGCATGGCACAAACTACCGTAATTCATTTTGGAACCTGCCTGTCCCTCCATCCAAGTATCTATGGTCAGAGATCTCTAGCGTTCGGACTCATGGATTGATTTTGACTTCGAGAGTCACTGAGGGTGCAGTCAGTACTGGAGGCGAGAGTGTGACAGCATCCGGGGCATCCAGGACCGCCACCCCCTTCCTCTGCTTGCCTCTGTCAGGTGTCACCAAATGTTTTGCAGATTAAGATCTAGAAACTCTATGTGGTAAAAATAACTTACAGGCCACATTGTCTTTACGTTGATTCTACTTTCGGGGTTTGTAATGGCTCAAAATAATCTTGGACTGGGAAAGCTGCAGGGAACCTACTTCCTGCTAGAAAACCACTTCTCACCTCAATTGATAGAGGAAAACACTGAGTGAGATGATGACATGTTCAAGATTGCCTAATGGTTAGCTACAGGATCGGAGTTAGATCCCCAGTCTGACTGCCTAAGAGCCCACACCACCCACCTTTAATTCCCGTGATTTTTGGAAATCATTTCTGGTGACCTCAAGCACGATTCAGAGCAACGAAGGTCTGCTTCTTTCTCACAAGGATGATCTGTGTCAGTAGGGAGCCCAGATCAAATTCTCTCCTACATCTCAGGGGCCTTGAGTTAAAGCCAAGGGGCGTGGCACGCTCTCCAGCTCACTCCTATCTGTGGACGAGAACGTGGAGGAATCCTACTTCACCAGGGTCTAAATTAGGTACAGTGTTTGCTGCTGATAATCGTTTCTTTAATTTACCTTGAGACTTTGAAAACCCTTGTAATGTTTTTAAAACAACACAGGGTTCCCTTTGGTTTTATAGAAGCGAAACTTTCCATTTATGTCAAGTTTTTTTGCTGCCATCTTTGGAAAAGATTAGCACGATTAGGGAAGTGGAAGAGCTATGGAGCAACCACAACAGTTGTTCTTTGGACAATTTGACACTGATCACAAAAGATGAGGAAGAATATTCTTGTATCCAGGCTTCATAGTATCTGCCTTTATGTCTCTGAACTGAATAACCAACCGTTTTGGTTGTAAACTCTTATCAGCAAACTTTGAATTTATACCATTCTATGCATATTAAAACACCTTGTACATGAGTAAGTTTTATCAGGAAATAGAAAATCTAAATGAGTTGAAACAAAATAGTTTAAAAATATTGATTAAAATGTTGATCTCCTGTAGGTTTTTTTTAAAGATTTTTATTTATTTGAGAGCAAGCGCAAGACTGCACATGAGATAGGGGGAGGGGCAGACTCCCCATTGAGCGCAAGCCTCGGACATACAGTGGGATCCCAGGACCCTGAGATCATGACCAGAGCTGAAGGCAGAAGCTTAACTGACTGAACCACCCAGGCGCCCCTCTATAGTGTTTCTAAGGAGAACAATGAACCCCTGATCATTTTAAATACATTTTTAAGACTGTGACACAATAATACACATGCCAGTTCCCAAGGTCAGCCTAGTTTGTTGGTTTTAATGCTGGAAAAAGATGGCTTCCACATTCTAAGTGGAGGAAGGGCACTGCTGGTCATTAATTCACTTTTATTCACCAATTATGCACAGGTGTTTGTTGAAATCCAGCTAGTAAATTTCCATCTTCTCTCATGGCTGACTAATGCAAACTAATCGAAACATGCTACAGTTTTGTTTTTTTTTTAACCAAGGACTTTAAAGCACTCAAACTCTTCATTTGGAAAGTTTTGAGCAAGTTATAAAAGCATCTCCAAGACTGAGCAACGTTTACATGTTTTTTGGCCAAGAGATGACCTAAGCACAGCAACACTTCCAAACACTTTCTTTTCCGAAAAGCTCTTTCCATAGAACTTCTCCGCAGTCTTGTCTTGGGCTCCCCCGGTTGGAGCCCTCTGCTCTCAGTTATGGGGCAGGGGTGGAGTGGGTTCTAGGGTGTGGCTCTGTGTCTGCCTGCCTCCTGCTGCAGATTCATGGTCTCACTGCCCGCCCCTGCCCCGCCGCAGTCCCCTGTCCCCGCTGCAGTCCCCCGGGGGGGGGGCCAGATGGCCTGTCGGAGAGCAGAGAGGAGCTGGATGGCTCGCATGTTAAAAATAGCGCCTGTGATTCACTGCACTTTATTGCTGCAGTGCCCTTTGCTCAGAACCAGGGAGATAGCCTGGACTATCTGACCCTGGACCGGGGGTTGGGGGGGACCAACGTTGTCACGTTGTTTCTTCCAGATTCAGCGGCTTTTCCTCAGCCTTCTGGCTATGTCCTGCCGTTGTTTTTGCCTTGTTCCATATGCAGATCTGTTGACCAATTTGGGGGTGTCTTCTTCCTGCTCTTCTAGGCATTTCTAAAACTGTGTTTCTCACTTCTTCCAACTGTAGGCAAAGCTGACTGGTTACTGTTAGGTTCTGGCTGTGGTTGTCAGCCCCCTGCAGGGTGACCTCCTGGGTCCCATCTTGAGGAATCTGCAGATGGTGAAGTAGCCCATTAGGGAAGTAGAGGCAAGCTTGCTTGAGGTGGGCGGGGAGGGGGTCCATCTAATGACATCAAATTTCTGCCCACCTCAGGCCTTCCTGTACTTTCTACCAAGCATGGCACGGTCCATTTTCCTTCCTTTGAGGTACATGGCAGTCACTTTACTCCTAAATTTCATATGCTCAAATCATCTAAATGGCTGGGTTATTAGAAAGGACAAAGTAAACTTTTTCACTCAGGATCCTTCGCTTTCCCCCATCTGCTTCTGTGATCATTCCTAAGATCACTATCACCTGCTATCTTCCCATAATGAAGAGTTGACCAGCCCGCCTCTCAGGCCCTAACTCTGCAGCCTCTGATACCCCATTTGCTTGCCTGCCTGCTTTCACTCTTTGCAGCAAATGGCTGCGGTGCCCCCTCCTCTGAACCAATCCCTGTTGGAGGTCCTGGGACTATAAGGTAAGTGTCTGCCATCATTGAGCTTTTGTTTAGCAGGGCAGATAGGTAATTGAAACAAACAAATCACCCAGGGGTGGGGGCTCCCTGCATAGAGTGGTCTGAGAAAGCTCAGCTCAGGAGCTGGTATTCAAGATGAGAGCCCAAGAATAAGAAAAAGAAGCAGCTGAGGAGGAGTTTGGTGAGTGTTCTGGCCAGCTTGACATTGGAAGAGTACTTTCCAAATGATGCATAATTCTATGCTAACCTTGACTCTTGTACCGAGAGACCTCTTTTTAAAAATCCCGATGCGGGGGCATCTGGGTGGCTCCGTTAAGCGGCTGACTTCAGTTCATGATCTCAGGTCCTGGGATGGAGCCCCACTGAGCAGGGAGTCTGCTTGTCCTTCTCCCTTTGCCCCTCCCTCTGCTCATGCCGTCTCCCAAATAAATCTTTTTTTTTTTAAATCCCAATGCACTTTTTAAATTTTATTTTATTTATGTATTTGACAGAGAAAGCACAAGCAGGGGGAGCGGCCTGCAGAGGGGGTAGGAGAAGCAGGCTCCCCGCTGAGCAGGGAGCCCAAAGCAGGGCTCGATCCCAGGACCCTGGGATCATGACCGGAGCCGAAGGCAGACGCTTCATCAACTGAGCCACCCAGGCGCCCCTCCCATGCACTTTTAACACTCTGTCTTTTTCAGATGGCGAGGAAATGCCAATATTTTTCAAGATAAAACTCCCATTACTGTATAGCCCCGTAAATATAAATGATAAAATATTTGTCTCATCCACTGGCTATTTCAACTGGTCCAAGGGAATCTGCTGCTCTCGACTTTGCGTCGAGCTACAGGGAGGAATGAGTAGGTGAAATGACATCGTGGTGGGCACCGGACAGGGAGTGACCTTGTTGTTTAGGTCTGTGTGGGTCTCACTGCACACGGCCGTATCAGC